ATATGCAAAGTATAGTACACATCCTCAGAACGCATGTTCACACCTGTTCCCATCCCACCTACTGAACTTGCTTTATAGTTTTTGTATTTTGTTTTCTTTATAGAGACATAGAGACACATCTGTTCAGAAAATGTCTTACTTGTTTCTTTGATTTTCCATCATATCTCTTATGGTATTCCTGTGCTATTGCCTGGAAAATCATTCTGGATTTGTTTTTCTGTAATGCAACAACAAAAAATACATTTTTAGATTGGAATGAAATGAGATCTTGTCATTGAAAAGTAATATATATGTAGTTATCCCTTACATGAGTTTGGTTCATGGATGCATCCTTGTCTTGTTTCAGTTTCCAGATTTTCCACTTTGACTAGACAATAAAATTAACACGGTTATTGATGCATTGCCATTTTTTTTAAACACGATTTAGTTTACTATTTGATTTAAGTAGAACTAATGAATTCATGTTATGTATATAATATTTGTAGCTTTTGAATTACTTTTAAAATCAAGAGGTCTTTTTATGGAGAATTAGCAGAGCCATGTACCCTGCAAATCACTAAAGGTTTGTTCTGTGCGAGTGGAGGCAAAAATGAACATTTTTACATTTCTTTTCACATCAAATGTATCACTGCACTATGGTCACTAGAAGGAGCCGAGGACCACAGGAAATAAATGCTCCATCTTGAGGCCATAATGTGATATTACATTACAGTCGACCTGAAAAGAAAATGTTTGTTTTGTCTCTATTCACACAGAACAAACCTTCAGAGAATGGACCCCCAAGTGTGAGGCAGTAGTAGTAAGTGCTTCTTTAAAACATAACTGTACTTTTGGTGCATTTAATCTTTTTTATATTTCCCCCCTTTTTCACCTTTAGCATGGGGCAAGCCTCTACATTTATATGAATGGGGATTCTATTGCACATATGCAACCACTTTTTCTGGAGGTGGCTCTGCGACTCTCAGGGGGCTACAGAGTGGAGATCTATAAGGAGAAGGAACGGGTAACATATAGGATTTGGGGGGGACTGTGGAGGGTTGGGTATTTTAAGCATACCAGTATTAAAAGTACAGTGATCCTTTAAAGGCAATGTTTAGTGGTGGTGTATATATTAAAGTAAATATAGTTAACTCCCCGTTATCCGGTGTTCGATCAAATGTTGTGACTACGTTGGAATGTGTGACCGGTGACGTGCTCACACATTTCAATGTAATCCCACCCAGTTTGACAGCGGTGGAATGTGTGACCGCCCATTAGATCAAGCATTCCAAAGCTTTGTCAGCTGTTCCAGGGCAGATCGGCTCACCGCGCATGTGCAGGAGAACCGATCTGCATTACCTCATCTGCCTGGAACAGCTCATCGGTCCTCAAATGTCACTTCTATCTGATTTTGTGAGTGCCGCAGAGGGGGGTGATTCCAGCGAGCGGCGCAGATATCTTTTTAATAGGGCTGGTAATGATAAAAAAATTTGTGTTCGATTAATCGAAATTTTTTAAAATCGATTAATCAATTAATTTTGATTAATTATAACGCACATACAAATCCAACTACATTGGATCTGTATGTGCGTTATTGGCCTATACACATACAGCACAGCAATGAAGTAATAAAATGAACTAGGATCACACTAATCCAGCACGGTATTAATCTCATGTGCCCCACTCAATATGCCCGCCGCTTGAGTGGGGCAACTCAGAATAATGACGTGCTGGATTACTGCGATCCTAGTTCATTGTATTACTTCATTGCTGTGCTGTATGTGTATATAAGCAATTTCAGGGAGGTGCTGTTATATTTGTTTTTTGCGCACATTCATTTACTGCGTTGGGTGGTAGTGCCGCCTCACATATTTGAATGATATTAATGCAGGCTCATGCAGCCAATTTAAGTGAGCAGCTGTAAGGAGGAATGCCCAGTTTTTTAGAGTAATCGAGCACAGACGTCTCTATAGAAAAAAGGCATAGAATTGCTTTGATATATAGTTATAGGGATGCACAGATACTAGTATCGATCCCGATACCGAGTATTTGGGCGAGTAGTCGCCCAAATGCTCCCAAAACCTGATTTTTTTGGTATCAGGAGGCCGGGCGGCAAGTAATTACACACTGCCTGGCTTCCTGATTGGCCGGGAAGCCGGCCCCAATGCTCCCTTGTCACTAGCGAGCATGGAGTCGGCTTCTCGGCCAATCAGGAAGCCGGGCGGCGTGTAATGACTTGCCATCTGGTTTCCTGATTGGTCGAGAAGCTGGCCAATAAAGAAGCGGGGCAGCGAGTCATTACCCAGCGAGCATAGAGCTGGCTAATCAGGAAGCCAGGGGCGAGTCATTACACGGCGCCCAGCTTCCCAGCTGATCAGGAAGCTGGGCGGCGAACCATTACACGCCACCCAGCTTCCTTAATGGGACTTCCAGTATCGGTATTCCTGATAATCCGGGCACACTGCACCAGTACTCCGTATCGGCGAGTACCCCCCAAAAAATATATCGGTACTCAATACCGAAAAACCAGTATCGGTGCATCCCTATATAGTAGGATCGGATATAGAACTTTTTTGTATCTCAGGACAATGGTATAGTTTGACATGTTCAATTAGGCCTGCAGATGAAGGTGATCTAAAGGTTTGAAAGCCTCAGCATATGTTCCATGAATTAGAGAAGGACTTACCCTGTATGCATAGTATGAAAATACTGTAACACAGTATGCAAATAGCAGTGTACAAAGGATAATTAAAGAAGTATTTCCTGCTGTGATGGTTTTGTAATTTTCATCTGCAATGCAAAAGACATTAATTATTGATTTGTTATTTCTGTAGCTTCAATAATGTTCATCTTTCAACGTTTTCTCCCCCAAGCTTTCATCCTTTTTCTGGGTCTGGTACCACATGGCTGTCGCATATTTGGTAACAATCTGACCTCTTTTTAAAATGTATTTGAAGGCAAATTTAAAAATCACTTTAGTCAGATGAATCCTTTGCAGTTAATCTAATTATGCCCCTTTTTTTTAAAATTCTTTAACCAGTTGTGGAAACTGGTCATGCTGCACAATGTTTTTCAACTGTGAAGCACAGTATTGTGGTACCGCCCATTGCAGCGCAGTTAATCGCATTGCGGGTGGGAGCTGCATTTGGGGTCCCATTCAATTGAATGGCAATGCAACGCACCTCCCGCACTGTTGACGCACAGGAGGTGTGTTGAACATTATTGCATGGACCTGGTGTGAACAGGCCCTTGAAGCAACAACAAGTAAAGAAAAAAAGTTTGAGTTTTTGGTATACAGTGTGTCTAAACCAAAAATAAAAATGTAATATATTGCAGCTTAGCAGTTTTTAGGTGTGGTGTCTGCATTAGTTTTCCTTTTTCAGACTTTTTTGCTTTCTTTTTGACCTTACTTACTGCCAGTAACACATTTCCTGCCCTAGGGTGGCAACGCTCCTTCATTGCACTGTATCTATGAAGGGACACAGCTGTCACCCTAGCCTGCCCCTCCCTGATTTGGACTACAAACACCTCCCTCTTGCTTTTTAGCCCACAGAAGATAGTTGAGAAAGCTGATCATATTGTTTGAGATCTCTATCCAATCCACAGGAAGTTGCAAAGACAAAGAAAAACTAATACTGCTATCACATACAAGGACTTGTAAGCTGCAGTATATACAATTTTTGTTCTTGGGTTTGGTAGGCAATTTCGGCACTCCAGCGGTTGTGGAACTATAAGTCCCACAAGGCATTGCAGGATTACCAGAGGCAGAGATATGATAGGATTTGTAGTCTGAGGGTATGTTCACATCAGCAGCCATGCTCAACCACACAGCTACTGGTGTGTGTGTTCCTGATTACTGCCGATGTGCGAGATCGAGCCGCATCGCACTGTTTTTTTGGTTTTTTTTGTAGAACTTTATTGAAATGTCACAAATTACATTTCATTTAGTTTTGTAGCCTCATCACGGTGCAATGTGGTTGTACCACGTCTCGCTGCAATGTGCTTAAAAAAGAAATACTGCATCCCCTCTTTTTTTTTTTTTTTTTAAGAGCATATCACTGGATTGCAGTAGTGTGAACCGAGCCCATCCATGACAAGTCAGTTTACCTGGTCTTGTGTTCAGGCTGCGCTGGAATTTATTCTGTTTACTCCAGCGCAGCCCGAATGCAGATGGTGTGATCCTGCCCTGACCACGGCTGGAGTGCTGAGGTTGCCTACCCTTGGTTTAGATATATTTTAATTCTCATGTTTTGCCACCAGAGGGCATATTTGTTCATCTGGTAACAAAGAAGCCCGGATATGTTTATTTAGCATAGCCCCCAAAAGTTTTAAGATGGTATGTGTGATTGCTCAAATATCTTTACTTTCCCAAGTTATGTTGACTAAAGAAAAAATCATATTTAGACATATTTATCCCTCATTTGTTTACTTGCCTGGCTGGTTTGCATTAACATTGTAGTAAGGAAGTATCTTTGTTGCCCAAAACAACCGGCCAAATGTTTTCCATTTTGTAATTTGCTCTGTAAAAATGGCTGCTATGGGCAACACAGATCTTTTCTCTGCAGGTTTCTTTTTCTCTGGAAACCCATTTTACTTTAACAAACATGGATCCATAGTGACTGAGAGAAAACAGTTACCTAATACCGTCAGGGTGATTCCTTCCCCCAAATTCTGTGCTGTAGGTTGTTGAGAACTGTATGTTATGCCACAAACATATATGCCACTGTCCTGCAGGGTTACATTTCTGATTTCTAGATACAGATAATTGGCATCGGTGCTTGGAATAAAGCGCAAATCATTTCTCTGGGACAGATTTTCATGGCTGGAAGCAAGATATCGAAACCAGTACATATCTTTTCTATTTCTGCAGTATGGGGCTGTAAACTGACATGATAGTTTAATATTATTTCCAAAATTCTCGAATACTTGGTAGTTTTCTTGCTTCACAGTCACCTGACAGCCTTTGACACCTGGGGGTGAAAAGAAACAGAATTCTGTTACATTGGTGAGCTGTGGTAAAGTTGGTCATAGATGGCTGGCTGGCCATGTAAGCGTGAACATCAAATGATCTGTCCTTAAAGGAGAGTCTCTATATTTAGTACTGTTATCCTTATTGGAGTCTGCAAACCCCTGCAAGCCTTCTACTTCCCTGTTATCTCTTCTGCTTAGAATTTATCTGTACATCCCACACGGCACCACACAGACTCCTATTCAAAAATCTTCCAACCAATAAAACTTCAATAAAAATAATTTTTCAAAAAAAAAAAATCTTCCAACCAGGTTCTGATCCTCCAGCATATGTGTGCTGCAGTCTCAGTCAATTCCTATTTAAAAGGGCATTTAAAGCACCTTGCAGTGCCCAGGCACCTGAAAGTTCTGCTTGCTATGGCATACCATTGACACTTTAGTAACTTTTGTGTGTCTACGTGTATTCTGTAAGATCATTGCTGCTGATCGGATGCCACCATTGTGACATCCATGCCCGTCCAGTTTTTAGCTCAATCTTGCGATGAAAAAACCCCCCAGAAATTACCAGACCCCATGTCTGTCTATGGGGAATCGAATGTAAACAGACGTGTCTATATCAGATTACCCCCGATCTGCCACAATCAGGTCTATTGAAATGTAACTCTGATCCCTTTGCTTTTCCTGGCAGATTTGGGGTAATCAGATGTAAATGGATGCACGGCCGTTTAAATTTGGCCTCCCATAGACTAACATTGGATTTCTGATCAAATCCGCCTGAAAAACTGACTGGCAGACCTGACCAGAAAGCCCATCTGAAAGGGCCACAACAGTCCTCATGTGCCAAAGTATGTTTTTGAAAATCTGTGCTTCCAGTCAGTGAAAAGTGAAGATAAGGCTCCATTTACAGCTACGTGTGCACGTACAGACTTTTACATTGGAAGTCCCTGGAAAACCTGAGAAGAAACACATTTTCAGTGTTTTTCAGACGCTCCCATTAAAGTCTATGTGGCAAAAATGCTTGATTTTCCCAGAAAAGAAGATCCTGTACTTTTATGGGCGACGGGTGTTTTATTACAGGCGTTTGAGTGCTAGCAACGTGGAAAACAATGAGATATTTAATGTTGAGCGTTTTGTAGCTTCAAGCTATCAAATGCTCAGCTGTGAATGGGGCCTAAGGCAGAATGATGAGATTTAGATGTATGCCAAATCCAGGGTGCAGGGTCTTGTATCATCGACCACCTTTTTATATTTGTAGTCTGATCTAGAATTGTAGTGTAATACACATCATGCAAAGGTGATGAGATTGTGTCTTTTCCTTTCTTTTAGATACAATGACATTCTTGGACAGCTATTCTTATGGTAAAGCAGAAGTTTTTATTTGTTACAGTGAGCAGTAATGTAATACACACCATGCTAAGATGATAAGATTGCACAATTTCCTTTTTGTGGGATGCAGTTACATTCTTGGATGAAATTGTTATGGTAAAGCAGAAGTGTTGTTATATCTCTTACAGAATGCTGCTTTTTCTGAACTTGCTACTTATTGCAAACAACCCCAGTTTTTGTCTCCTTAATATCTTGAAATGCCAATCCAGGGCTAGTTCACACCAAGTGCGGAGCAGATGCAGAGCAGTTGTTACAGAACGCATTAAAACTGCATCCAATGTATTCCAATGGTATTTTGGGCTCTAGTTCACACCACAGAGTTCATTTCCAGAACATGTGGAAAAACTGCTGCATGCCCCATTTTTTTTCTGCTCTGGAACACACCAAAACGCATGCAAACGCCCTGGAACGCACTAAAAGCCGTAAAACGGCAAGAACGTGGCAAAACACACTGCACTGCATGTACAGAAACTCATGCAGATCTGGTCTGGATTTGGTGTGAACAAGCCCTTAGTAAGACAAAGAAAAATGTCCTGCTTGTCAGGCTGCTTAAAGAAGAGCTCTGGGTAGAAAGTGTATTAACCCTTGCAGTAGGGCTTACCCCCACACTTCAAAGGTTAATGGCTTGTATTTGCCTAGGGAAGGGATGGCCAAACTCCGACCCTCCAGCTGTGGTGAAACAACAAATCCCATGAAGCATCTCTCTCCGGGAGTCATGTCTGTGGCTGTGAAAATCTTGCAGAGCCCCATGGGATTCGTAGTTCCACAGCTGGAGGGCCGCAGTTTGGCCTTCCCTGGCCTAGGGTCAAAAAGAAAGTTATACTCCCCCAATTCTCAGAGCCGACCGGCTCTTAACTCGATCCCTGGAGTGTCTCTCCCCCGCCTCTGCAGCAGTCTAAGAATCCTCAAGTCATTACATTTAATACAGTATATTGGATGTGAGAATGCCGAGGGACATTCCATCATTGCTGCGGAAGAGGAGATGGGCATGAGAGAGCACTGTCACACCGGCTGACTCTGAGCATCAGGGGAGTATAAATCAACACCAGCCTACGGGGAGAAGAACCCCGCAATTCAGGTGAGTGGAGGGAGGTTGCGTTGTGACCATGTTTCTTGCGTATAACACATGTCCAAAACGTAAACATAGACTTTAAGCTAGCCATACACTAATAGATTTCTTTAATTCAGATTAACCAAAAAACAAAAAAAAACAGCACATTCCTCTCAACCTATGGTAAACAGTGTGGATGGACATTTCTCGCGCTGTATTCTGACAGCCGACGCCTGCAGCTGGGTGACAAGGCCACCCACTGTATGGATTTCAGCCAATTCATGGACAGGCTTAAAGGGTTATTCCACTTTCCCAGGCAAGTTTGGGAAAATGGAATTACCCCCACCAATCAGCCCCCTTTAAATCCCCCCCACACGCTGCTCTTACCTGTCAAGGAACGCTCCTTCCTCTCCGTGGCTGCCGGTGTAGGACCCGTACCGAGCACTTGGTATTTTAATGGGGGCAGATTGGTGGGGGTAATTACATTTTCCCAAATTCGCTTGAGAAAGTGGAATTACCCTTCAAGCTGAGTATACACTGGTAGATTTTTGTATGGACGTTCATACCAAAAATCAGACTGCCATCAGAGACTTGAACAATGTCATTAGAAATTTCGTATGATTTTAACATTCAATTTTAGAATGAATGAAAACCACATTCACTGTTGGAATTTCGTTCATTCGAGAAACATTTTCCATCCTGCTCCCTAGCTTTTTTTCAGCACTATGGTCAAAATCGATTGTTGATTTGACTCTATTGTCTATGAGAAAATCAAACAAATATTCAAAAACTATTTTTTTTTCAAACTTCTAATCGTGTATATAGTGTTAGCTGAGTCTTGTGAATCAGTTGGTGACTGTGCTTTGGTAGCTGCTGATCTCGTGTGTTTATTCCAAAGTGATGCAACACAGGAAAGCGCCATTCCTAGCTCATTACCGATATACATTCACAGACAAACGCCATACGGGGAAATTCAACTAAGATCAAGTGTATTTCACTCACTGATTTATTTATTCTGTTGTTTAAAAAGTGTTGTGTGTAGCAATCCGATGTTTGCCTTCATTTTCATAGCTGCACTAGAAAAATGCAATTATTTCTTTGCTTAGTCTTTGCAATTCGACAAATGTTGCTAACAATTCTGTATTTTGTACTGCTCTACAGTGGCTTGCAAATGTATTTTACGCCCTTGGCATTTTTCCTATTTTATTGCATTACCACTTAGAATTAAAATGGATTTTGATTTGGATTTCATGTAATGCACATACACAAAATAGTCCAAAATGATGAAGTGAAATCAAGAAAATTACTTGTTTATAAAAAAATTAATGGAAAAGTGGTGAGTGCATATGTATTCACCCCCTTTGCTGTAAAGCACCTACATGAGATCTGGTGCAACCAATTACCTTCAGAAGTCACATAATTAGAATGCACACAGGTGGTCTTTATTTAAGTGTCACATGGTGTGTGTGTGTGTGTGTGTGTGTATATATGTATGTGTGTGTGTGTATACACACATACATACATATACATATACTCGTACTCGCCCAAATGCTCTGATGCCTAGCAGGAAGCCAGGCAGCGCGTTATTACACGCTGCCCGGTTTCGCGATTGACCGGGAAGCGGCTCCATGCTCTCTCGTCACTTGTGATGAGAGAGTATGGAGCCGACTTCCCGGCCAATCAGGAAGCCGGGCAGCGTGTAATGACACGCTGCCTGGCTCCCTGATTGGTCGTGAGCTCTCCAAACAGGTCAGGGACAAAGTTGTAGAGAAGTACAGATCAGGGTTAGGTTATAAAAAAATAAAAAAAATATTTGAAACTTTGAACATCCCACGGAGCACCATGAAATCCATTATTAAATAATGGAAAGAATATGGCACCATAACAAACATGCCAAGAGAGGGCCGCCCACAAAAACTCACATACCAAGCAAAGGGGGCATTAATCCAAGAGGCCAAAGATAACCCTGAGGGAGCTGCAAAGCTCCACAGTGGAGACGGGAGTATCTGTCCATAGGACCACTTTAAGCCATACATTACACAGAGCTGGCCTTCATGGAAGAGTGGTCAGAAAAAAGCCATGTCTTACTGAAAAAAATAAACATGTTTGCTGTTCACCAAAAAGCATGAGAGACTCCCCAAAAATATGGAAGAAGGTACTCTGGTCACATGAGACTAAAATTAAGCATTGTGGCCCTTGACCGCCTCCCGGCCGGCCATTTTCATAGTATGCTGCAAGCACTATTTTGATCGCACCACACCGGACCACGGGCACAATGTGCCTTTCGATCCTGTGTGTGTGATCGCATTTCGGCCGGAGGGCATGGCTACAGTGCCATTCAATTCAATGGTCTGCCACGCCTCTTCCTGCCCCACAAAAAAGTGATCCGGCCTTAATGCGATGCAGTGCGTTCCAGCCAAAATCAGACCGGAACGCCACTGCATCTGGTGTGAACGTACCCTTACAGATTGCTGTACATCAGCGAAACCCATCCAATTTGAAGGAGCTGAAGCAGTTTTGCCTTGAAGAATGGGCAAAAATCCCAGTGGCTAGATGTGCCAAGCTTATAGAGACGCACCCCAAGAGACTTGCAATGTAATTGCTGCAAAAGGTGGCTCT